AATATGAACTTAACAGTGGCCACAATGATGTGAGACACTGATGAAGTCATACAGAAAACAACTGCTTCAAGTTATTGGTGGTAAAGGTGGCTCCAGATGGGGTTCACTTAGTGTTTCACGCACTTCCTCTGGTTTCCTCTTAGGTTTTGTTAAAGAAATAATGACACATCATACATCACGTGTTGTTGTTCATCAATTTAAAACATCTGATAAGGTTATTTTTCATATTTATTTAACGTGACTATACATGTAAAAACCTCAAAGATCTTAAGTAACTCTTTGTTCACTAAAGGAGCCAAAAAGACAGAAAACCTGGACGTGTTAAGTTCCAAGTAAAGCCACAACATTTTGTAGCCTTAGACGTTTTAGCCTAGAGACAATAATGCTAACGAGTTCCTGCAGCAAAGCAACCATCCAGCAGACCTGCTATTAAGATTTGCTGTTTAACATCTAAGGGAAATATTTAAGACAACTTTGTACCTGATGCCTATTAATGTACAAGCTAATCTAGAGTTCAGTGAAACACATTTTTCATATCAGACTTACTCACCAAAAGTAGCAAAGCACATAAATAGCAATCATTATCTTTTGAGCAGTGAAGAGGAATTTCTCCATAGAAAATGAAACCCAGTGGCTAAAACTCTATGTCCATATGTGTGACTGCACACATGAGAATGTGCATGTTTGTTGGTGTGTGCGTGCATGTGTGTGTGAGAGCCATGCTCTCCAGGAAGCTTCTATGAAGCGCAGCCATTTCCTAATGAGAACAAAGCAAGAAGCAAGCCTGAGAGGAAATAAAACCCAGCAGAATCCAAAACGCCGAGAGCAGTGAGACAGCCTGAAGTAATTACTATAGCATTAGTTGCATGTGATTGGCCTCATTAGTCCTGCCGTTAAACAATGATTGGCTCATGGGTAGGCGTGGTTAGAGCACCAGCAGATCCAAGACGCTGAACGTGGACGCCAAAGTGGAGTAAACTCACCTCTGCTGCAGCTCCTCCTCCACCGATTTGAGAAGACTCCTGTTTGACAAGTAGAAAAAGCACAAATGACAGAATAAAAAGAAAGACAAAAGTATCTAGGTTTTGATTTTGTGTATCGAGAATAAAATCTTAGTCCTTCCCAGTCCCAGAGGACATTCTGCTGTGCTTATCTGAACCTCAGTTTTCTGCTTACAATGCATGCTTGTGAGCAGAAAGCTGCATACAGACAGTGTTATAAAGTTGGCACAGACTTTGAAATGCACAACATAAAATCTCTTCACATTCCAAGTCTCCTTATTGTCTACATCCTCGCTCAATCTAGACATAAAAAAAAATAAAAATAAAAACAATAAAATGAAGGATAGCTGCAACTGACAATGAAATAAAAGACGAGAATCCAGGGGGAGGTAAATGTTTAAAAACAGAAAAGAAACAAGCCAGACTTACTTGTTTCCTCCCAAGAAACGCGATGAATCTTGACCGTATTCCAGCTGCAAATCCTACAAGACAAATTAGATTACAACTGTGACATAACACATCATAAATAGTTCATTTATAAAAATATTAACAGGTGCTGTAGATCTTGGCCAACTGAGGCAGTAAACCACGTTTAAAGTCGTGGCCATCACTGAAGCCCTTTTCAGTTGCCAAATGACTGCAGACGCTGCCACTGTAGCAGCTGTGGTGACCGTTACAGCAGCCTGCTGGAAATCATACCCACAATAAGAAGCTCTTTCACCTGAAGTATAATTCATAACCACAGACATTCACAGATGTATATGGTGAGCATATGGGTATTTATAGTTATACAGAGCTGACACTTGCTGAACTCACATTGTGGTGTAATACTACATATATTAATCATCGGGCGTTAGCCACAAAACAAGTCTGGCCATTGACACATTTAGGAAAAGGACCAATAATTAGGTGCACACCAAGTAACTCATTTCAATGTCATCATTAAATAATGATGACATAATGATTCATCCTGCTAATTTTTGCTAGTACGGGCTTCACAGATAGAACACAGAAGTTGTTTCCAAAAAGTGGCTCCCTGTCGTTTGGGCTTGTGAAACCCTAACATTTTGCATTATGGTCTCATGCACTGACTTGTTGTTGAGTCAATGACTTATTTTCTAGATGACACAAGTTCCTTTTAGGTCACAAACAGGTGAAAACATGCACTATTTCACAAAAAAGTTGAGGGAAAGCCAGAAAATGTAACATGCTGTCAGTTACTGAAGTTACCAGCTATGAAGCAACCCAGCAACCCAAACTCCACTTAAATCCAATCCAAGAAATACAGGACAGTAGATACGTTAATCATTTTTATTAACTATCATTAAATAGGTTTCACTAATGTAAAATATTGTAGTGCGGTGGTTGTGATGTGCTCCTTGTCCTTTCGATTGAACATTCTGTTACTACTGTTGACTGCAGTTACAGTATTTTTGTATTTGGAAACATGACTAAACGAAAAGGTTTTATCTTCCAAATGCATTCAACACCTCTAAAGGAGGCAAATAATGTTAAAATCTGATTTTCTCAATTCATTATCTTTGTCAAAACAGTCACAGTAACAAGATAGAAATAAGTCTCACTGCAATATCTAGACAGCAATACTTCTATTGGTCAAGTTTACCTAAAACTTTGCTCTTTTGTGTTGACTTCTTGGGTAAAATGACAAAAAACACAAATGCATGACAGAGTCTGAAGCCATAACTTTACAGAAGCATGCACAAAGAGCAACTACAAACTTATTTCTAATATTATTATATGTCATTACTAACATATTTGTTTTCTAAATCAATCAAACAATCAATACATATTTTTAGTGACACCCCTAATACAAAGTATCTGTAGTACAGTAAAGTACACCAGTAACTCTTTGGAGCAGTTGGTGGACCCCTATGTGGCTCACAAACTGTAGATTGGGAACCAATGTTTTAGATAACTTTGGTAAGAAAAGTGTTATGTTGTCATAAAGCACATTTGAGAGTGTGCGGGCTAATAAAGAATCAGTTGTGCAGATTTTATGATTCTGCAGGCTGACAATAAATTCAGCACTACGACAACGGTCCTGAATTTAAATCAACTAATGAAATTCTGGTTGGATATCGGTGACATAAAAACCACAATGTGAATGCAGCATCTTGTCAGAGAAATATTTTTGAATGTTACGCCTGAAAGCAAAAAGCATGCAAGAAGAAATGCGCACTCCAGATGAGCAGACACAAAACACCAACGCTACAAAGAAACTACAAAGAAACACGCATACTAACAGACAAGAAACAAAGCAAAAAACAAGGCCTCACTACTCTGGTTAACTACAAGAGGTTAGAAAAACATAAGCAACACTTTACAAATGAGAGAAGCGCATTCTGTGGAAACATCAGAAATATGGAAAAGAAATATTGAGTACCATACAACACACATTAAAAGTGTATGTGTTAATAAATTTGAATGCAAACGCTACTGTGAGCAGACATGCCTTTTATATACTTTAAATCTCCTTTAGATGTCCTTGAGCAAGGCACTGCACCACTACCAGCCTTTAGAGCTGCAGCTCCACTGCTGAACCTGATATATCTTCCTCTATATTAAAGCCTTTCTTGAAGTAAGTCTTACAACTTGGCAGGTATCTTGGCAGTCATTTTGAAGCACTTTACTGACACATAAAAACTGCATGTACAGAAGTCCAGTTAAATCTGATTTTAAAAGGAGAAAATACTAGAAAAGTTAGCCGACTTTCCCCAAAATATGCTTTTCCCCCCTGAAAGCTACCCTTCTGTCACAATTCTTCAATACATCTCAACTAGACATTTGCTGAGTAACATGCCTCTCCACTGTAGTGTCCCTCCCTGTGTTTATACCTCTGTGTGCCAATCTGTGTATTGTATGCATATATGAGAAACAACAACAACAACAATAGCACTAACGACTCTAATCACTATGACAACTACAACACCAGCTCGTGAGGCAAAAGCTGAAGCTGAAAAAAGAAGATAAAGATGGGCAGTAACAGACGGGTGGACTAGAAGAGATGGATCGACAATGTGAAATAACAAATACACAAGTTGGACATCGAGCAGCCGAGAGATTCAGAGCTCTGAAAAAGGACAAAAGTAGGACAAGGACTCATCCTTCAGAGTTTAAGAATGAGCAAGATGGAGAGAAAAAAATTAAATTATATTTTAAATAAAGCATGACGTTAAAAATTGACAGACTGAAAATAAATGGGCCAACAGCTGGAGAGATGGAGAGGCTGAAACAAAGAGAGACTAAAGGTGTACTACCAGATTAGATCTTGCTGTATAGTAGAGCTCCTCAACACAGTCCAGATAGGGCTCAGAATCACACTGGTCAGCAAGACAGAGCGAGAGAGACCTCAGTTAATACATTAACCTGTCCTGGACTAATGGCGGGGAACAGGTAGGAATGGTGATATGGAGGGAAGGGATGACTTGTGAAAAATGAGTTTGGGTTAAAGCCGTGTCCACACTGGAAATGATTCGCTCGTCGCACATCGCTTTCAAGCCGGTGGCTCATCGCGTTTAGACATTCCAGGTTACGGTTGTCTAAGTTACTCTCTATAGTTTACTACCAGGTCATATGTCAGTCAAGGGTATTCTTCAGTCGCTTGCCTGGAAGTTGGGAACAGTTTATCTTGTGTCCCGCCCACTTCAACTCAGCAACAGTTAAGTTGTCTTTATTTGCTTCAAGTCGCCAAATGTCATTCTATTTCTATGGGTCACTATGAATCACTTCCAGTGTGTACGTAGCTTAAGGCCATTTTTATTTAGTTTTTTAATAGGTGCTTGACTTGGCAAGAAAAGGATAGAGTATATTTGAATAATAATCTCAAGAGAGGAGGAGACAGATGTGAGTTTAAAACATATAGATGGAGGTTTGGAATGGAGAGAAAATAATAAACTGTGCTACAACAGCATATATGTGAGCCTACAAAATATAAAGTTAATAAGGGTATAATAAGGGTACTTTTCATAAGATTCTACATACAAATTAAACAACTAATGGTAGCCAGCTGTATTCTGGGTAGTATTTCCACACATGCATTTCTCACTCATCATGGGTATGGATGTCCCGCTATGTTTAGGCTATTAACATTTTCTTTGAATCATGCTAAAGTGTCATTTAAATGAGTTCTTCCAATTTTGACAAGAAAAATGGTCAAATATTCAGCCAGAAGACGGTTGATGGATACCAAAAGGTCTGACTTGCTAAGGGACATTTATCCAAATATTAGTGGGTGTGTATGTATACTTTAGAACCTGTGTGGATTAAAGAAATCCAAAAATATTTCAAACTTGTGCACTCAATCCTTGCTTTGTTAAGTTATTAAAGACATATGCTGTACAATCGCTTCGTCCTGGAAAGAGAACAGTTCATGTTAAAAGCCAGAATTTACCAAGTTATTCAAGCCCATGATGAGTGTCCGTAAACTTGTGATCAGCGTTTTAGAGGTACTTTCTGTTACTATGGGTCTGTTGATTTTTGGCCACTATTGCAAAAAAAAAAAAATAGAAAAACAAAATACTTGCACAGAGTCTCTTTTGATCAAAATGTTATAATATGAATGCTAAAAAAACAGCACGGCAGTCCTCACTGGATGGATCTTGGAGCTACAAGCTAAAAGCTAAAATCTACACATGTCACGAGACAAATGTAATGCAAGCTGCCAGAGTTCCCTTGAAAAGAGAGTAGAAATTTAATGGACAAATGAATGATTGTTGATAAATGATACAGATCATATGAGGTTAATATGATAGCATTAATCTAAATTTATAGATCAAAAGATAAAGAGAGGACAAAATAAAGGTCTGGTTAGATTTTTTGGTGAACTATCAAAGACAACTTTAAGAGGGTGGGGACAGTGGAAGACGTGCAAAGAAAGGACAAAAGGTGAAAAGGAAGTCGGGGAGCAACATATACTGGGAAAAAATACCAAGAAATCATAGCTCAGCCAAAGATTTTTTTAAAGAACCAATGCTAACTTTTTGACCAAAACTGAGCATAATCTGACCAAGATAAATTACAAATTTTATGCAAATGAAAGCCAAGAACACGACTTTTATTCTACTGAGTTCTGTCCAACCAGTAGTGAAAGAAAGCTACTACTGACAAATCATACCTGTGTTTGTCAAACAGCAATAACAAGAGGTCTACAGTTACAACTTCATTAAAATGAATCCATAGAGCTGTTTATCCAGCTGGGTTGTGTATTTAAAGCTACTGCAATAACACTGTTCAGCCACAGCCTTCAGGGTTTGGTGAATCCCAAAACATTCCAGATCAAATTGGACTTTTAATCCCTCCAGCAAGCACAAGATCCACCAGGGACTACTCTCTTTACGATATATTCACAACAGCCTGCTGGTTACCGTAAATCTGATTTTATATGCAACTGGGCATTAGATTTCTGCCAATTCTGTTGTTATACCCATATAATAATTAGCGAAACATGCCATTCCTAAACCTTAGAATATTTAACTAGGATTGGTTCAACACAGACAGAGAAAAACATAGATTGGTGGAGGTGCCATGTGTGATTAGGTGAGGGACAGCCAAGTTGGTACTGGTTAATTAACAACCACACAAATCTCATCTCATTCGCACACATACAAACATAATGTCATCAACTCACCGGTTCATGATGAGGTTGTGTCTCCTTTTCCAAAAGACTATCAAACTTCACTTGATCGACTGAGAGAGGCAAAATAAGAGAGAGGGGAGGATAGGAGAAAGGGAATATCATGAGGTAGGGAGATATATATATACTGAGTAAGATTACTGAAGAAGGAGAAAAAAGATAGTAAAGACATTGTATTTATTCACATTGACCTTTTGTAGCAACTCACATTTCATCTCGGACAGTGTTTTTCCTTCTCTGGTGCTCCTGCTGGTGGAGCGGATACGATAAGGAACCGGGGACTATCAGGAAATAAAAAGAAAAGCAGACAGTGTCAAAGCTGCTCTGGACACTCGGTGTAGTGGTTTGCACTAGATTTGGAAAGATCACAATAGGTTTAAGAACAAAAACATAATCCCACTGCTATTTCCTGTGGGTGGGATTTGATGACACAGCAAAAACAGAGTCACACACACACTGCAAGAACACGACCAAAACAAACAACAGCAACACAGTCAGAGGAAAAACATTCATCCACCCTTTTGGTTGCAAACACTGGATACCTGTAAGCTGTAAAGTCCTCTTTACATTGGAAGATTTATAACAGCGAGATTGTCACACAGTATCTCATCATCATCATCTGATGATCTACATTCTTAATACAAGCTGAAAAACAGGGTTTGAATGCTGAAATGGAAAACGGTACTTGGTTATTTTATATGTCATGAGTGCAGCTGGCCATTCTTATTTTGAACCACAGTTATTGTTAATTTAAATTAAAATCCAAACTCCATCGCACAGAAATCTAATGACACAGCAACCTCAGTGCATGCTTATGAAGCACTGGAAGACAAACCAAGACTACAAAAGACCATGCATCAATCAAAGCAACATTTAGAACTCGGCTCCTCCAACAGACATTTTTGTTTGCAATTATTCTCATAGTCCGTTCTCATTAGACACAAACCATGATTAATACCTGAAAGGTTAAAGACAGGTGAAGATGGCGTCCATAGCTATAACACTTTAGCAACCTACAGCCTTTCGGCCTTCCACAACACTACATTTTCTTTTGTCTACTATTTGAAACATCAACAGGTTGGAGGGTTTTTTTTTCATGAGTTTGTGAATGGATTTAACACTTAAAAACATAATTCTAGAGAAAGTGACAATGTGATATTTTTGAAGCCATCTTTAAGAATTTAGGCATTTCTTTACCATCCCAGGTGCTACAGAACTGAAGTGAATGGAAAAGATCCTTAGTGATGCTAATTATGCCTTTTTTCCACTAGCAACCGCTCAAGTTGACTTTTAGGGCTTTCTGTTTGGTGGTAGTTTCCAAGCAAGCCAAGTTGAGCTGAAAATGTGACGTCAAAACACTGCATGCCACTGATAGGCGAGGAAGTAACGTCACTGGATGAGTCATGGGGGTGACTCCTGCGCAAGAATAATACCGCTACTTTTTTTAGACATGGCAAATAAGGAAATGGGCTACGCACAAACCAACACTGGTCCAATGACAAGATCCAGATGTATTTGTGCTAACGACAGAATTCAGAGGGAGCTAGGCCATGGTTGTGTTGTATTTGTGTTGCATACATATGAGACATTAAAATGGTATAAAACTGTAATGGAAAACAACTGAAACTGAGTAGAGCAAAGTAGAGTCAAGTTGAGGTGCTAGTGAAAAACTGACCCGATTTCCTGCATTCCCTTTTGATTCTCACCGATGTTGCCAGTTGTTGTTGTTGTTGTTGTTGGAAGGTTACTTTTATCTGCCTATAGTTACTATATGTCAGTCATAAATACTATAAACTTTATAATTTGTTACATTTATAAAGCCATTTCTATTCTACCGCTGTTTTTTAAAAGTTTTTTACTTAATTGTTTTTTGCTTTTAATTGGGATCTGTGACATTTTACCTTAATGTTTTATCTTATTCTATTTTAATGATCCACTGATTTATTCTACTTAATGTTTTGGCTGCTGTAATACAAGAGTTTCCCAAATTATTAGCAGAAATACAGTGGACCTTATCCTATTATGGCCTTTTATTTGTTCACAACTACACAGAGATGACGTAAAACCCAGTAAGTAATAAATCACCGGAATTTCCTTATAGCCAACCCTTATCTTTCTATTTTGTTCACACATGAGTGCTGTGCAGTTGTGGCTTAAATCATTAACTTCAACTGTGTTCTGAAAATGTTAAAGTTTAGGAGCAAAGCTGAATTTGTTTTTTATGTCAAACAATCTCATTACTTAAAGCATTCAAGTAAAACTTTAACAAATGTTCATACGATATTATAAGCAACTTTTAGAATAAGAATAATGACACAATTTTGTGTGATGCAGTTGTATAAAGTCAGCTGATTTGAATGTCAACAGAAAGGTCTATGACACTGCCACAGTAATCCATCAAATGACTGTTTCACATACCAATGTCGACTTCCACGGCAACACCAGCAGAAACTGAATTGGAAATTTACTTTTTATTCATTCAGTTCTGTAGTCCTATTCCCCGCCCCCCTCCGAAAAAAAAAATACTGTCAGAAGAGTTTGTGTTAGAATGACATCAGTGCAGACACTGCAGGAACAGTAGTACCTTCCGACGGGCTGCAAAACGGGGTGCACGTCGAGCACCGGGACTTATGGGAAGAAAGTGACCCCTGTACTTAAACTAAGGATTCAGAGGATCAGGGATGGGGAATAGAAGACAGGAGAGGAAAATAAAATGTGGGGAGATACAAGCAGTGCTAAAAAGAAGAAGAGAAAAACAAAAGTGAACCAAAAACAGAAAATGAGAAATAAATCTGAGAGAAGCAAAAGAAGAAGTGGATAAAAAGGAATGAGTAAGAAAGGGAAAGACAGAGCAGAAAGATGACTCACATGTGACAAAGAAAGGAGGGAGTAAGCATGGAGAGAAAAAGCTGTGAATGACAAAGGAATTTAATGAAAGGACAAATGAGGAGACAGAAGGAAGTTGAGGAAGAAACGAAGCATGATCGAGTAAAACACAATCACATTTATGATCCGCCAGACAAAACTTTGGGTTTAACAGAAAATCCTGAAGGTCAAAGGTTACCTCAGGCTCAGGGTCGTCATCATCAAAGTCGTTGAAGGTGCTGTGGTCGGGGTTGTTGGATTTATCCAGCAGCTCAATCGCTAGCGTCCTGCTGAGAGGCTGGGAAACAAAAGGGTGCTGGAAGAGAAACAAGAGTTGGAATCAATCCAGGTGACATCACCAATGGCACATTTTTAAAACAAAAAAATAAAAATAAATAAATAAACTGTACTGGGTAATATGTGATTCCTAAATAAGCAGAGCTGAAACTAATCCAGCTGCTCATTAGGGTGCTGACAAATTGATATGCCGTTTAAATAACAGCCCTAATTGCTGTGGCACATAGTGATGAATGATGCTTACAAAGCAAACTGAAGTTTATTCTTTCCTTCCATTATTTAGATCTTGCTTCATGCATCATGTATCACGTTGCTCCAGCTTCTTTTATACGCAGCACCTTTTAAAATCACAGAATGCACCTAGTACACATGTGAACGCTTCATATATAATACATGAGACCATGACCACTTAGAAGTTTTAAAAGATATTGAGGACTGATCGAATGAGGAAAAAAAAATATTGCAAAAGGTTAATTTTTTAACAGTGGATTTTTTAGTAGACTTATTTTGGAAGTCTAATGCTGCTTGCTTGAGGTGTAATCACACATCTTGTTTGGGCATCTTGTTATAAATTTGGCCAATTTCAACCTTAAAGTACGGCTCATGAGCAGTGATGCAACACATTAAAGTGTAGCTTTACAAGTAACCTTTTCACTGTGTGTTTTGAGATACTGGTCGGATCTACATTGGGTTAAAACAGCAACCCTTTAACCTGAATTTCACTTTGAAGAAAACAACCAAGTTGCAGGCAACAAATCTGCACAAAAAACTGCATAGTGTGTGGTAGTGCTGTGTGGTTGCTCTCACTCAGGCATGCGCCTTAAAAACTGAATACTGGGTCAGTTTGACACAGTAGTTTATATATGCACATTTTAGGTTCATGAAACCTGCAGAGCACACATGCAGGTGGCCAGAATAGGATTTCCACAAAGCAACCAAAAAATAGCAGCAGAGCTGGAAGCTATCCATCAGACCGCCTCAGAGAGGAGATCTGCCAAATCTGAAATGGCTTTTGATATTTATAAACAGTGTTGGGCAATTTTGTCAGCATGGCTAGTTTCCTAACTTAACATAAAAGTTGACTGGGAAGCCCTCTCATTTTTGTTTGTTTTACATCATGTAAATATGATTGGAGATGGACTGTAATGTCTGAAAGTTAAACTTTCCTCACCTGCAGCAGTTTCTCAGCTGTGGGCCTCTTTTTTGGGCTCTTGGTCAGAGCCAGTTTGACAAAATGGTGGAAGTTATTGGTCCTATTAGTTCAGCAGGGAGAGTAATGCAGAGAAAAAAGGAAAAAGGTTTAATGTTTTAGCCCTGTAAAATGATAAAAACTGGTCATTTAAACAGCTGGGTGTTACATTTATAGCAAATGTGAGCAAGACCAAAATATATGCAAAAGCATGACAGTCTTACCACTTCATTTTATCTTTCAACTTAGGAGGCTGGAAATTACTCTTTGTCATTAAGAACAGAGCCCTGTTGGGAGAGAAGAAGTAAAAATGAGAAAAATCACCTTTAACAGTGTAGAAAGACATGCCTTCCTAGCATTCAGTAATAAAGCCAATTTGATACACAATATCTACTCCAAATGACTAAAGCCAGTGTAATATATGAATAGAATAAAGATTAAAATCTCCAGGACATAAATATAGCAACATTTTGTAAAGAAACCCTTTAGACTTGTCACACAAAAATGATCTAAAGCTAATAACATTAATGTCTGTCAGTGGTTCTGACTTTTATTAAATACACGCAAAGATGCATGGTAAGAATTAAATCTTCCAAATAATATTATAAACATTCTTTACTATCATTGCATCATCACAGCCCGCACACACTCCTACCTCATTGGGTGCAGGTCGAACATGGGTGGCTGCAGTTCAGCCAGTTCTATTGCAGTGATACCCACAGCCCAGATATCACACAACTGGTTGTAACCCCCTTTCCTCTCCACCGCTGCTACCTCAGGAGCCATCCTATACAAGAAAACAAGACAGAAGGACTGTATGAAAACAAGATGCATATAAGAGGGAGGAATGATCAACTATCCAAATGGGTTACACAACTACACACAAGAACAGAATATGAACTTTGTACAGTATTTCCCAGCAGCAGCACAGAAAGTTCCCAACCTCAAATGCAGCTCTATGATTTCTCTACAACTAACAAGTACTATTTATTTCTGGGTTTTGTTCTTTTGCATTAAAGAACAGCTAATATAATAAAGGAGAGAAACACATTAGTTGACAAATCCCTATGTGTAAAACATTGGCCCATTAGCAGCAAGCATTGTATTGAACTACCATCAATTCCAATGGATTAAAGCACTCTAACAGAACAGGAAGAGTAAATGTATCCAACAAATCAGTGAGTGGATCAGCCAGAACTTCCTTCAGCTCAACGATGAAAAGGCTCAAGTAATTGTTTTTGGCTCCAGAAATGCAAGGTTAGGGTCGATAAAAAGTCTTTCATTTTAATCATTAATTTTTATTTTGACAATTGCAATCTTTTTTCCATTAATTTTTTATCATTTTAATGCATTTGTCTCATATTTTCCTCAGTAAAGCACTCTGTATTGCCGAATTGCTTCTGTATGAAAAGTGCTTGCCTTGCCCTGTCCTGCTGGGTTTTATTTTTATTGTTCTACCTGCGTACCCCTACGCAACGCCAGTGAAGCTTTTGGTTAAATATAAACAACTTACCAGTAAGGTGTTCCAATGAATGACTTCCTCTTTGCTAGGGTCGCTGTGATCTGGGCTGATACGCCAAAGTCAGCTAAGGAATAAAGAAGAAGAAAAAAACAAAAAGGAGAGGAAAAAGTGGATAAAGGGAAATAGAATTAAAGGAATGTAATGAAAAGGGAGAATGTAAAGAAATAAATACAAAATGAAAGAGGAACAGCAGAGAGGCCAAGAAAAAAAGAAAGAAAAAAAAACAAGTCAGCAAATGAGGCCATTCAGATTCAGTCTGTTGAAGCAGAAGGTAATTGCAGGCCTTGCGTGTTTCTCTCACCTAGTTTCACATAGCCATTGTCTGTCAGGAGGATGTTGGCTCCCTGTAGGGGAAGGAAAGAAAAAAACAACAAAAACAAAATATACTGAGCTTTAGGATAAAACACACAATTTTACACTTCAACTAAATTCTAAATAATAATACTAATTATAATAAGTATTACTAAGTATAATCTGAAAGGCAAAACAGTTACAAAGTGCTTTGTCATTGATTTAGCTGGTAGTGGGAGGGAATGACTATTCATTTTTCCTATAACAAACACAAGCTTAATAAAAACCTGTTGTTGTGCACCAACAACAGGTTTCCCAAGCATTTATTAAGCTTAGTCCCAGTGTAAAAGAATAATAATAATAATAATAATAATGATAATAATAATACAAAAAAACAGCCTTACTGAACCAAACGAATGACCCTAATTAACTTAAAATGAGCCTAATAGCTGAAGTAGATTGCTATGTTACTCACAAAGTGTAAATGTAGAGCCAATATGTAGATTTTCAGAAATCAGATTTAACAATTAATCATGACTATAACTTTATTTATGAACAAATCACTGCCCACTGCCTTTTTCTCCAAACTCACCTTAATGTCTCTGTGCATTTTGCCTTTATTGTGCAGGTAGTATAAACCCTGCAAATAGAATTACACAGCAAATGACATCACCGTTACTATTACTCATAAAATAAGACAACAATAACACGATAAAGATGATGAAATCTTAAATCTTAATCTCAATCTTGCCCACATTATCAGTACTGTAGACAGTACCTGTAGGGTCTCCCGTGACATGTAAGCTATCTGTGATTCTGACAAAGGCCCGGTTACTGGAATATTAGATAAAGAAAAGACAGAAGCCATGAGGGGAAAAAAGAGACCATCAAAGAGTACAGTAAAAACAAAATGGTTTGAATCATTGTGCCTGGGTGTCCTTACCATGATAGATATCTTGCAGAGAACCACCTCCACAGTACTCCATGCTGATCCATAACTTATCTCTTCTGCACACACGCAAAGAGAACTCTGTCTAAGTGCATGTTTACATTTGCTCACAAGGTATGAGCCCTTCGCCTCCTTCGATCTATCTTACACCAGCTTCTGTTTTTCCTCTCTGACACTCAAGACATTTTTCGAATAAAAATACGAGTCACTTAAATATCAATTAAATGCACTCTAATAGTAACCATAAGAAAATACTGTACTCCACATCTGGCACACACACACTCTCTTACCGGAGATAACTGCCAAAATAGGCAACGATGTTGGAGTGTTTACAGTCCTTCATCATTATAATCTCCTGCTGCACGACTGCAAAGTCCTCACCTTCAATAAAAACAAAAACAATATTATTATAGTGATCATTTAGTATGCACCTTGGCATTGTTATGACTTACAGAATAACACAAAGCGCGAAGAAGGCTGGGTTTGTTTATTATTTTCTGTTTCTGACAGACTGTTCTTGCACTTGTGTCTGAACCACTAAGAAGAGCATAAACTGAAGCAAAGCAGTTCATCAGTCCAAAAGCATAAATTGTACAGTAATTAAACAAGTAAGTAAACAGTATTTCTTTATATAGGACTTTCTGAAGATTGAATTCATGACATGCAATAAAAAAAAACAATACATAGCATACACATTGGTAGGATATAGTTCAACAGCTGTCCTGTAATGTCTAGCAGTGTCCCCCAAACAATATTTTTTGGGCTTGATATTGTTAGTGACAAATCAGCTGTCATGAATTCAAGGTTACAGATGCACCAACTGATCAGATGGGCACCAGTTTTCAGGATTCCTAGCCTGGACTGGTAACCAGCTGCTCAACATCGTGTATGTCCAATTATGAGCCAGTTCCTTTCATGCATGTGCAAAATGTGCAAACTGACACTGGCAAATATTGCACACTCACATGAGCAGCCACACATTGTTAGTGTCTGCCTGTGGCTGTTAGCAACTTCTTCGCTACGAGTGAGGGTGATGCAAAGTTCACCAAACTAGATCATCAGTGAACTGGCATGAAAACTTAAATTAAGTATCGTCACAGAGCTGAAGATGATTATTTAAACTGAAGAAGAAAAAAAAGATAACAAAAGGAAAGTGGCCAAAGCTACGTGGCGTGCAGATGGAACCACAAAGCATGTAGCTTCAATATGAGCCTCGGTATGAGCAGTGGAAGAAAAAGAGAAAAGGGTTGCTCCCCTGTTATCTGGTGAATGATGTAAGTTAAACAAGTTAAATGATGCAAGTAACTTACATTTGTGTTTTTATAGAAATCTGTTACACCTGCTTTTGTTTGGAAAGGTAAATTATGTGCACATTAACTCATTTATTTTTTCTATTATTTACTTTCAGAGATGTTTAACAGTGAAGATTAAGAATGTGCAGTTTAGGGGAACTGTAAAGTCTGATAACTGATTTAGATATAAAAATACAATTCAGCATTGAAGAAAAGTTTATTTTTACCTTGTATTTGGTGTGATTTGAAATTTGGAATTTTCAAAAATTGGTATTAGCAAGTAAAAAAACAACAAATAAATAAATAAATAAATAAATAAATACAACATCAGAAATCAAGAGGCCAAATAAAATTCCATCGCTTCTAAGATTGAACTCTAGATCTCCTGGCTTGATCTCCTCTCTCTAAGGAGGGAGAGAGAGTTGCACCTTTGTTGCTAGGTGGTTATAAAAAGCCTCTAAATCTAGCCTCACTGTCGCTAGGGCAGTAAAGTAAAGTAAAGTAAAGTAAAGTGAACTAAAGTGTCATCATCGCTACTTAAAGAGGGAGGGTCGACTCAAGCAAAAGCACAGATGACATCTATTACCACAAAAAAAGAAAGAAAGAATATTTTAATGTCAAAAAGACAAAAACTCACTATCTACCCAAAGAAAGGGCATCTGAACAGCTGACTATTTGGATTATTCAAATATTTTACTTACTAAATGAAATGCACGATTTAAACAAGAAAAAGACAAGGAAATTAACCTGTACGAGGGAAAGGACATAGTTAAGGGGGAGGGACGACACAGTATCAGTGAGTGCTGGGTAAGAGGGTATAGTATGGAAAAGAGGTTTGTAATGAAGAGCTTCACAGACTAAAATAACAATCTGTTGGTGAATCCTTAGAGAAAACATAGAAAGGAATATGACTTACGAGCGAAAGACCGAGATATACGCACACTAAATACAAAATGGACAGCAACAAAAAGGGGCAGAAAAGGGAATAGACAAAGATGAAGAGCAGGATATAGGAATGGAAAGACAAGGAGTAAGATAAAGCAAAAATAGGGGATATAAAGGAATAGACACAAAGATAAGAACTATTATTTAGCAAGAAAAAGCGGGGTAAAGGATTTGAAAGAGAGCATAAGTAGGACAACACCTAATGATGCTCCAGGTGACTGACTTGTCATTTAAACGAGAGAAAAAAAGAAAGTATGCTATTTGATTAAATCTGGGACTCTCCACCATTTGACCCTAGAACTGAAGAAGCTTCTCGGATGACAAGTGAAACATCTTCAAGCAACTTAAAGAAGTCCAGACGCTTTTCTTCGCAAGCTCCTTAGACTACGATGACCTGGATGACTGAGAACCTTCACAGACATCTACTATTTGACTTTTTCTGTCTTTAAAAAAAAAAAAGACAGAAATGCAGAGGGTGTCCTAACATTTCTGAACCAGTACGTGTCATTGTACGTTTAATGATATAATAATGACATGTTTAACCAACTGGTATTTCCGGTGCCAACGAGCAAGGGTGTCAAGTTTTAAATGTCTAGTCAGCTGGTTGCGCACATCCCTAGATTCAGCAAGAAAAAAAAGTAGAAAGAGGAATTCAAAAACATGAGGAGTAGGATACAGCGAGACAAAAAAAGGGAGATAAAGTAAGAGAGACAAAGATGAGGTAACTCACCGGGTTCCAGTTTGATGACTTTGATAGCAGCCAGCTCTCCTGTGTTTACATTACGAGCCTAAAGTATGACAAGAAGGAAAGTGAGTCATTGTAGGCTTGAACATGAACAGCAGTCATTAAGCAAAGTTGTTTAAGCAACATCAAGGTACAACGTGACAGAACTGGAGAGCAGAAAGAAAGAAACCCTAACTGTTTTCACTGCACTTCAGAGCACAAGAAAGACAACACTGTAATGTTCATTAGATGAGTTTCAATCAGCTGAGAGGAAGCTGATAGAAACACCGAATCCACAAAAATGCCACCATCAAATACTGATGGTAAATATAATTGGTGCCTTTTTGTCATGAGTGCTTGTGTCGTACTTTTTCGAAATCAGTTGTTTGTAGCCAGTATAGCAAATAAAAAAATGTTCTGACATAACTCATTCGCAACCCTTTAAACCACAAACAGGATGGGGGAGGAATGTGTGGACTTGTTTTTCCTAAATTCCTGAAAAGCTGGCATAAGTCAGAAAAGAGGGGAACGACAGTACAGAGGCAGATTTTCTATAAATAGCGGACTGTTGTTTACATTTAGCAGGAGTGCTGATGGGGTCAGAGAGGAATTACATATGAAATATACATGAGGAAAAAGATTCTTTTTCTTTGGGGTGAGGCATGAATTGCGTGCTTCACTCAGGGCAAGAAAATGCCCAGTGGCCTGTGTGTGACATAGAAGCAGCACTGTATGTGTGAGAGAATGGGGAAAAGAGTCCAGCACATTCCACATGGGAAGGAAAAATGAGCTTCAATACTATGAACAACCTAGGAGTATGGTGACATTGATCTAATACATCGGCTTTTGGAATATTATTGAGTCTCAATGCTTGGTGGGGGGACATCAACATCAACATGACATCAACATCTCCGTTCATTCTGATTCTTGACACAAGTTCATATTAATTTAACATTAGGGCGAGATGCATTTACATTCCTTAGCACACAAAATAATGACACAAGCAAAAACATGTCTGAGAGCGAGAGCAGGGTGACAGCCTCCCAGAATGATTTAGTACCTTTAAGAAAAAAAAAAGGAAAAGGGAGCTACTTAAGTAGTATGTAAGTCGTTTGGCTTCAAACAGACCTTCAACATAAAACAGTGCTGTGCAAAATATGCAAGAAAAGAAAAAAAAGAAAAGCTTAAGGGTGGAAACATCGAACTTGTTTCAGTGCTTGAGCAAAAACACAGTGTACAGTAAATCCAAGCTATGGATGCGAGGATGTGATATGAGCAGCTGT